AGGATCATCAATATCCACAATAGAGGTAGACATTTTTATGGAAAGTTGGGAACATAAAGCTCTTAAAATGTTTAATCCTGTCCCTAGGTTACTCTGGAAGTATGTGCATGACACATTAACTAAGTTGAAATCTGAATATATCCCTCGGTTCTTCGCACATATAGACTCAATAGTAAACGGAGTACAATTCACATTTTAGTTAGAGAATGAAAAAGTTGAGTTAGCCACGCTAGACAATAAAATAAAGCAAAACAAGACGGTTGGTCAGATACTGGCATTCAAAGAAATTGATGAATTTTAATAAATACTTAAACTTTAACTCATCCCATCCAGAATAGGCAAAAGTATATTTGGCTAAATGTCTATATAATTGGGCCAGGAGCCTACTCAGTAATTCAAGCGATTTAAATAATGAAATGAAACAAATAAAGAAAATATTAATGGTGAATAATTACCCACCAGAATTTATTTGGAAATGGTGGCAATCGCGCAAAAATCAAGAATTGGTAGGAGTTAGAATTCATGGGCCACTGAGTCGGGTCTCATTGGCTGAATGGTATAAGAGCCTATCCTACAACCGAGGGGTCCTGGGTTCAAACTGCACTGGGTCAGTGGTACCACTGAGTCCGAAACTGGGAGAAAACAGCTGCCCAGTACTCTCTGGTTTTCAATGGCTCTCTAACTAATATCAATCCGTGATCAAACTTATTAAGAGATTTTCACGTATTGGTTTGTAGGGACTTTGTTTGATTGATTGGAGGATTTCATCATGAGCTGACACCTGGTTCAAACCATGGTGGTTGCGCACTGATGAAGAGTCCCAAACGAGAACGAGGCAGCTGCTCACTACTCCCTGATTTTCCAATGGCTACCTAACCGACGTAACGCATGACGAAATACTCCAACTTATTAAGAAATGCATGAAAAACCGTAGAAAAAAATGATAAAAGTGACATAAATAATATGGAATTCAGAGCTTCTGTAATATTGACATATAAAGAAGGAACACCAGAGGTCTTACATAGGGTACTTAGTGAAGGCCGAATTATGCTGGCATTCAAACCAACCGCTTCTTTCAGGGACAAACTTTGTCGGTTTAAGGACCTAACAGATCTAATTAAGTAAAATGATATAATATACCAAATACCATGTAATGACAGGGAGGTTAATCACATAAGTCAGACTAGTGGATTGGGTTCAATTAGATTATCGGTACATATGAATTTGGCTAAACCTAGAATGACTGACCACACGAAGTTAAATAACCTAGGAAAAAGCTCCTTCACTGTATCGCATTCAGTTGTATATAACCACACAATAGGGTGAGACGGGATGAGAGCATATAATTAAGTGACGGATGGTAAGGCTAATCACTGAATCTTTGTTTGTCGAATCAACACGAAACATGTGAGACCACAATGGTGCAACGCCTATACCAGAGATACAGAGAATTACAACAAATAATAAGGGAGAGGGAGAGAAAAAATATATAAAGAAAATCACAGAGATGTTTGACTAAATGCATATGATTATAGGAAATAAATTCTGCTCGAAACATCATCCAGTTATTAACACCTCATCCTTGCATGCTATATCAAATAAATTTGCCTTATAGGGAATTGCATTCTACCACGTTGCCCAACTTTACACTAACATCAGATTGGCTAGCAGTGTGCTTGAAAAACTTTTAGCCTGGCAGAAAACACATTATAAAAGGTGTAGCACGAACCTAATTTTTTTAAATTATGTAAATTGCATGTAATTTTATTGCCACATATTATATACATCAGATGTGTTTAAGCTTGAAATGCGGTTTGGTTCATAACAGCCCCCAAAACTAACTCGGCTGCCAAATTTTACACAGGAACATGAATTATTAGTGTTTCTGTGACAAACTGTTAATCGGAACAAATAAAATAATTAAAATAAATAAAATATTAAAAATTGAAAGTCAAATTGAAAAAAGTTTTGAAGACGAATAAGAAATGATATGGAGTTTTGATGTGACTTCTCTTTTTTTAGCTTTTTGATATCTAGTTCACCTGATATTATGAAATTAGAGTTTGAAAAAAATCAAGGACCACTGCCTAAGTGTTCATTACGATTCATTCAATAAATTATTATCATTAAACGTTTAAAATCTTGTCTGGAATCCACATATTTTACTTTCAAAGATAAACTATACTGTCAGAGAAGAGGATTTGCAATGGGAGGGATCACTACTATCTCCAATTGTAGCTTACCTTTATGTGATAGCTTAACAAGGAAAAGCGTTGAATCGTTTTGTTTGACAACTTAAAGTATGGTAAAGACAAGTAGACGATACACTTCTGAATATTAGCGAGTCTAAAGAGAATTTCCATAAACATTGTTTCAAATTGTATAAAATTTACAAGTAAAATCGAATTGGATGATAGGATTCTAAGCCTTATAGATCTTCTTATCAAAATCCCGTGGAATGCTGAAGTTTACGATCCATGGGAAAGCAATTATTATTTCCTTTAATTCCTAAAGGAACATAGGGCTTCAGCTGCGCATGTTCACTGCGTTGGGTTCTCTGCTAAAGTTTTCACCTGGCTCCAACTCTGCCCACATGCTTTCATCTCCTCTTCACATGACCTCCTCCAAGTCACTCTTGGACGACCAACTCGCTGCTTCCCTTCATCTAATGGTTTCCTCAGAGTATGGTCAATCCACCTTTATTTCTTCCTGCTTACTTGTCGCACAATTGGTTCACCAAAATAAATATTTTAATTCCCCATCTGATCATCCACTAAGGATGAAAGTTTCATTAGCTTTAAGTCTGCTAAGAGGATCTGAAACAGTCACATAAAAATGATTTGAAGAATGAGATAATAATAATCATCCGGAAGAGTCTATGAACACCGTTTCAATAAAAATGGCAGGGAAAAATCAAGAATATCCGGAAATCTTGGATATTGAAAAGTCAATGCACAACAATTTTGAACAGTATTCCTGCCTGTGGTGTTTAAGTCCATTTTAAGCCCTGAAATTCTTGAGAGAAGGCTTTTGGTAATATATTTCTAAAGATTACACAAGACAAGTGACTACAGCACAAAATATTCAAAGTGTTAAGCACACCGTACAGGAGAAATCATTAGACAAGTAAATTCAATGTGAATGAAAATTAACTATGATAGAAGATCTGCCTTGGAATAAATTAGAACTAAGAAAATTCGGAAGATTTATATGAATTAACTAGATTGAATGCAATAAATGGGGAGAGGGACTGATTAAACAGAAAAGGTATAGGCAATTCGTTATTGTATTTTTTCATCTTTTGAAGACTGATCGTAATTATCATTCGTTAACTAACATTTTATCTGAATATCCCCATAATTTATTTCAGACAAGAATAATTATAGCAAACAACTGTTTTCAGTCAACTCTTCCCTAGGCTCTACAAATATAAGTCCATTAATTTTTATCATACACTAGCCAGTAAAGACAGATTATAATTATTTCAGAAAGTGTATTGTAATACAAGTAGAAGGTGGAATAATAGCCGGAGTTTTCTGATTATCATTTAAATTTATGTAAAGTGTGAAATCAATAAGAACATGAAGTGAGATAGAACTGAGTAATTTAGTGAGGTGTTCGTATTTATGATCAACAAAAGTATAGCTTTCTAAAGGTGAGTGGTCAGTGGTGTAAGAAAGAATGTCATATAAATCAACAAATGTGATACTCTAGACGAAAATTCAAATGTGACAAATAATGATGAAATAGCTACGGTGCGGTACAAGCACAGAAGTAGTATTAGAGAACCATACTCACGTAATGAAGTATTTAATAAAGTGGGATGGAAATGACTCTGTAGATAGAATAACAATTTCGAAAATTATTGAGTAAACCTAAACTAATAGAAATAGTTGGGATGGTTATGAAACCGTACAAATCTGGGATAAAAGTTAGTTTATCAATGAAACAAGGGGATAGAGGAAAGGAATGAGAAAAGGATCTAAAGTGTTAGTTACCACTGTTTATAGATGATTTGTTGACTTTATTATAGGCAAACTTAAACGGATCAGCTGGACATATTTTTCCTGAATACACAGACCACGTCTTTTGGTATCGACTGCTACCAGTTTAGACTGATAGAAGACCTAATCAACCTCCAAATGATAGGTTACTGGGGAAATCAATTTATAATTATCCTGCATTAAATTGACTATGAAGAAATATTCGGGAAATACTACAAACCAAATTCGAAGCATTCTTTGCGTTTCATATTTTCTGCCTCCTCCTACGGAAAAGGTGTTTGCATCACCTGAATATTTATTCTGAAAGCAAACATTCCAGACATTTCCATAATACATTAATCTTAGTTATTTGGAAATGAATTGCCCAATATGTAAGCAGTTATTGATTCCTTACTGGACGCCTTTCACACCATTTTTTAAACATTAATGATCTTAACATAAATTTGATAACTTTTGAATATATCAGACTATGCGTTCTGTAGGGTTTCGAATTAATTTTATAGTGGATTCCTTCACGAAACAATCATACTTATAGAATCATTGAAAACATTCATTTTGTCCTTGAGTCTTTATTCAGTGGCTAAGTGGTCCTGTGTTTATTCCCTGATGTAGTCATGTGCCCACACTGCTCAGTCCCAAAGTAAAATGAACTAAGTGACCAGAGCTCTGTGGTTTTGAATGATTCTCTAAATAATTCGTGACTAAATCAATATTGAAATTTCAATAGATCACTTATCACGGTTTATACTCCCTTTGATATTAATCCGATATCAAACCAGAAATAAATGAAATGTCTACAAACTAACTCATAAGTCATCTGACAATGATGAGAAAACAGTATCATGAGCATTATAAGTAAATAATAGGAGAGAGAGACATTTCACAAAATGTAATTTAATAGGAAAATGTCAATATTTCACATGATCTAACCTGATAAGTATGAAATGATCAGGAAGGATAAGCAGGAGTGAAACCTTATTGACGTTAGAAAGCATGCTAATGATTAGATAAAACAGTCAATGTGTCTGGAATGATTTGTGTGGCAGGAAATTTATCAAACCCAAAGTTTTTAGCTGAATACTTGAGGAGTAGTGGACGCTGCTGATACTGATAATTTTGACTTTGATAGTTATTACAACAATAATGGTTGTGATGATTATAATTACTTGACTGACTACGATAATTAAAATGTGTGGAATTGGAATAGTTGTTTTTCATTGTGTATATCACACTAGAACTGTTTGTTAATGATGCCGCACTCCAGCATAAGCATTTTTCGCCATCAGGAATATATCCGGGTGTATAAAAAAAGGGACTTTGCAATTCGTTCTCGGTCTCTTTGTGATTTGAGCCAGGTTGTGGTCTCTTTATGTGCTTGGATTTATTAAAACAATTTTGAAATTTATTTGTAAATGAACTTGACAACCAAAATCCGCATAGAACAATTTGCATACCAACAAGTGTAAAAAATGCTAAGGTGGCTGGTAAAAGTAAAAATCTGTACTCAGTCCAAGCCCATCTTTCTTTACCATTGCTTCTAGGAGTTCGATATGTTGACGACGACAGATTTTGCTTCCAACCTTCTTGTTCATTTTGTATTTGGTCATAAAGTGCACTGTTTAAGTTTGAAGATGCTAAATAATTTGGAAAGAACAATAGAGTTATTGATAATGTTTCCAGTAAGAACGGTGTAGAAATAACTTACGAATCTATGAAAGTACTAGGGAATAAAAGATTTTCTACTTCTTATTATTTGAAGCATATTTCAGCATCTTTCCTTACCTAAAAAGATGTCATGTTAAAAGTAATTTATCCGAAGGTATCAAAGAAATTGCTTAGGTTTTCACCTGTGATTTGATAAACAAATAAACTTTCCAGTGGTAAACATTCGATTTAAAAAAATTTAATGCATGAAAGTGTAAACAGACTTCCGGAGGAGAAATAAACTTTATTCACTTACCTTATATTATCCATGGATGACAGATATAAATTCTTAGTAAAAGTACATGATCTGTGGAGATTATCTTAAAACGTCACTGCACCACCACGTAAGTAAATATTAATTTCGAGAAATTTTCTATAAAGAAGCTAATTAACTATAAACATACCTTTAGTAGCTTCCGATAACTACTGGTATGCTTCTTATAGTTCTAGTTGCTCCCCAAAAGGCATTCTAACTCAATTATAATATCTTAATTTATAAACAGTCCAATAAGCCGACACATTTTACTGAAATAAAAATCATTTTACAGTTTTATATACATGCTGTTGAGTTGTTAACTGGCGATCTTGGGAGATCTCAACCAATTAGTCTGCCTTTCAGGTGGCAACCATAAAACGTAATAAATTTAAGGTAATAAAAAGCTTTTGCAGTAAGAACCTCTTTCTGAAATGGTCTTATGTTAACAAAAGGGTCTATCGTTCAACGACCTGATATTAGTATAGAATAATTTAGTGAATAAACTCAAGGACTGTGTTTGGATTTACAAATCAAAATCACTTGTTGAAAATGCTGATGAAGATAGAAGAATGATAAGTCAACAATTAGCTTTTAATGAATATTAACTTACATTTTCTAGAATAATTAAAGAGTCGAGATCTTATCTTAGGCTGAAAATGATTACTGAGTCTATCACCAACACCTGTAATAGTAGGAGGAGACAGTCTGACGCTGAGACGGAAGTTGTTATTGTGACAAATAACAGATTGAGCTATAATAAATATATAAGAAAAGGTCAATAAAAGCTGAAAGGGAGAGTAATAGGAATAATAAAATATACAAAATTTAATATTAATGATTGCAAACAAAGTCAATTTTGTAACATTAAATGAAAATAAGCGAAGGTCACTCCGGTCAAAACGGTTTCAATGAAATTATATCTTTGTAGATTATACGAACGCTGCATAAGTCATTTTCATATGCGCGTTCTTTTAATCGTTCACATTCTGAGACGCACTGAGCACTTGGCTGTTGTCTTGGAGAATACAATAATAGTAAAAAACGTGACTTTAATTAACTTGGTGACAAAAAAGTGGATCATTCAAAGTATTAAACTCACCCACAAAATGCACTGGAGTGTCGTAATGAAAACTTGGCAGTGATGCTATTTCCGGGAATTGACTAACCTTGAGCACGAAGTCCCTGATTGAATCATTGCCAAAACAATCCAAAAGCTTGATAACCTTAATAGGCAGAGTTTCATTGCATTTCATTAGTACACGAGGATCGTCAGTCTGTGAGAAAAAACGTACTCATTCTAAATTTTCTCATAAAATATGAAAACTAACGACTTCATGAATATTGTGTATCACTACATAAATTAACTGAATGAGTGCAATGTGCATAAGACTTGCTGAACGCCTTTTTTTATAAAAATTTAATTTAAATGCAGATAAGTATCATGCTTTTGAGCGACAAAAACTGGTATAAAACTCTGAATTATTTGAGCTATGCACAATTCTAACTATAATTGTACTATCTGAAAAATGTAATTGAAAATTTCACAGGTAAAGATATTTTTCGGATCTAGTAGTATTTCATTTCAAAAGTGAATGGCTTTTGATTATCACAACTGCTTTGCTGAATATTGAGAAAGTGGTGGCAAAAATGTTATCTACATTACTTCTCGTGCTTGTAATTAATGACTCCTATGACTCACTAGACTATATTTGTTAGTGCATCAGTATTATGTGGAGTTATACAATGAAGTTCAGGGTGATGCCATATAAACTGGAAATAAAGAGGTAATGAATATGAACTGGTTTTACGTCTACACTGAGGTTCTATTTATACGTAACAACAATTGGTTTAATCATTTGTATTATCACTCTCAGATTGAAATAATGAGACTTATCTAATATCGTGGGTATTTCGTATATGTCTTAGATGTAATTAATAAGCGTTTTTAATGATTCAGAAAATAAACAAACTACAAGTCACATACCAAAATCAGACACAAGTTTTGTAACCCGTAAATTCTTTATATTCACTGTGAAATTAAAGCCCACAGACTTCATAAATAGATAAATTAAGAAAAAATCATGGGAGTTATCATTTCGGGGTATTAGGGTAATATTTCGTTGCGTTTCTCATATTTAGAAAGCTGAGTATCAGAGTTTTCTCCTATGCTCAAGGTAAATGTTGAAGTTTGGCGATTTCAGCAGTTGTTATGACTTCTAATGCTACAAGTGTAAAGAATGATTGCTTTTCTGGTATTATTGCAAATAACTTCCTAAGGTGCCTCCAATCCTTGAAACCTACCCAGTCTCTTGGTCCAGATGGTGTACCTGCTATTATCCTCAAATAATATGAAGACATCTCATGTTATCCTCCCACTAACATTTTCACTGAATCGTTTTCGACTAAGATTGTGCCTGTTTCTTGGAAGGATTTTAAATTGTTCCTGTGCCCAAATCACCGAGTGAATCAAGTATTTAGTCTAGGCTTATTGCTATCACCTCACTATTCTTAAAAATAATGGAGGAACTATTTACCTAAACTTGAACCCTCATTCAAAACTTTTAATGACCCTAAACAATTTGTGTATGAAAATAGTAAATGTAATTTATATGCCACCGTTGTCTATCATCATGATATTGTCTCTAACATAGACACAGTTGCCAAACATGTTTGGTGTGCCTTCTTTGACTTCACACATCTGCCTTTGACTGTGTACCTAGGCCCCTTTTGTTGAACTAGCTTGCTGCGACACAAGCAGGGTGCTGGATTAATAAATGTTTGTGTTCTTACTTTTCTGATAGAGAGTAGTACACTATTTACAATGGGAAGTTCTCCACCGCTTTACTTACTCTAGCTGGTGTTCGTTAAGGTGTCGTTCTCTTGCCTTTTCCATTTTCTCATATGACTTGCATCATTCTGATGAAGTCAATTTTGTTAGGTTTGCTGATGATCTGACTTCTTAATCAGATTGTTCCGAAATGAATAGCGTTTTATTAGAAATCTGTCAGTGGTTCATGTCAAGTGGTATTAAGCAAAATCCTTATAAATGTCAGTTTTTAATTTCACCTTCAGATGCAAGTGAGACTTACACAAAATGGTTTGTTTGCATGATCCTACTTTTATAGATGGCACCAAAGTTGAAACTGAGTGGAATGTGGAATACATTGTATTGTGTATTTCCTCTGATCTTTACTGATCTTCCCAGATCATGCTAGTTTCTAGGACGATATTTTGGTTAACATTCTAGGTAAGGAAGTTAATCCAACCGGGCATCACACAGTCTCTACTTTCTAAGTTTGTTAATTCTTGTATTCTACCTATTCGTCTTCATTGCTCCCCACTTTAATCTTCCCTGGGCTACTTAAGAAAGACTTTGTAACACTGAGTAGGGAAGTAGAAGCTGTCAGTGGGGAGAGTGGGGTACCGCTAAACCAACTTGTTAATACTGTTGTGGATAGATGCATGGGCTCATGCAGGAAACCGGCGAATATTATCCTGTTGAACCCTGAGCATCCTCTGTACACACAACTCTCTCCGTGCATCTCATCAGGTAGGACTAAAAGCAACTTTATGCTAGGACGACTAAATATAAAATCTCTACAATACTTTATCAGGCACATATTTCATGTGATGAGGAAAGTATAAGGCATGACACTACTAACTTACTGCGAACCACTAAGTAAGCGGTAATTTTTATTCTTCCTTTCATTATTATATTGCTGTTAATATTTTCACCTGATTTCTAATTTTATACTGATATTATTATTTAACAATATCAATGTAAATGCCCAACCTAGTTATTACCCCTATTTTATGTGATGAGGAAATTAAATGCAGTATTGTATGCATGCTGAAAATTCCATATTTGTACTAAAAGTACTGTTTAGAACAAAGCCGTTATTATTATTAGAAAATTTTAAAGCATAACTGTGTTCATGCTTATTTTCTCACACTTTCAAATAATATAGAGTCAAATGTTGATGAGTTTGTATAATCTTATGTCTTTCAGTTGCACATTTGACTTATTGTCTTTAGTTTTGTGACAAATAGAAAAGTTACTGTATCGTCATTTAATTTTGTGAACCCTAAGTTGTCTAAACCAGTATTCTAGGTGCTATAGACACTTATCTTCCTGGTTGTTCAAATAATTAAGACGGTAACATTATGTTAAATAAAACCGTGTATACTTTACTTTTCATCAGAAAAGTAAGAAAGAAATCGTATCTGATCATTTCAACATTAGTATAAATAAAACTATGCAGATAGCTTAAACAATGTAGACTGTTTCAATAGGAAATGAACAGGAAGTTAATAGAACACGATAACTTAAATAAAAGATTTCTTTTGAAATATTTATTTTGCTACCGTAAGGACATATCCGTTTGGTGTATAAATGTCATTTTTTGTATCTGAGATACGAACTGAGTGCGACTAATGAACGGTGTCCTAGGAAATTATCTGATAAAGTGACGTGCTTATGAACAAACACCACCATCATATACCATTCTGTTATATTCATTGGTTACCAATCGATATTTTGAGAACATTGCTCTAGAGAAGTTAAGGTAAATAAATTCAAACGCTTTCCCTAAGCTAATGGTTTAGTCTAGATATCACACACTTGTGATTTACTTAAAACATTGTGACTCATAGGAAAGGAACTAATTAAAGAAAATTTTATATCACTTCTGCGATGTTGCATCTTTAACACATGTGTTTCTTGTGAAGTAAGTCCTAAATTGTGCACGTATTTAACTTACAAGTAGTTACTTACGTTTTCTAAGTATGACATATTCCGTCGACAGTGAAAACGTTAAATATACAAATTTTCATCTAGAAAAGCTATGGATGTTTTTGAAGAGTAACTTTATTCTAAGAAGAGGGGGAGGCTCGAATGATTTGCTTCAATAATATGCTTCTATATGAATTTAGTTTTTCCAAAAACACGCTTCAAAATAGTATAATCTCTGTTATTTCATATTTTATTAGTTTTACTTTATAGTAAATAATAAAACCTTATCATTCTGTAGACTTGTATATATTTTCATGAGTCTAATAGAGAATATGTTTTTAAATAAATCCTCCGAAAACTTACCCAGAAAATATTTTGAGAAAATGTGCGGTTTCGTGGACAAATAAATATTAAATTATCACCTTCATTAACGTAAAGATCATTTTGACTTTCTTTGAATCTGAAATAAAAAAGATGCGCCGTGATATTTCGGAGAAAGAAAGAATTAATTTATAATTAGGGCTAAGTGAACATCAGATTCTTAGAAGCACAAATAACTTCATTATGAATAACCTGTCATTATCATCAAGTTTTGTAGGGCATCGAATTACGTTCACGCTCAATAGTCTTAAAGAATTTCCATACAGGATAATTAGTATGCATTGTTGTTGAAAGTGTGAATTCACTAAAAAGTGAAAAATTTGTTTACAGTTCTATTCGTACCATTCCGTTTGTAAACATGTTTTAAATATTTTACCCATACTTCAGTGCGATTTTCAAGCCCATTAACTTCTGTCATTGACCGAATGATCGGAGAATTTCATCATGAGCTGAAAACCGAATGTGTTGGAAAATATTGGTCCATCGTGTAACACGAAAACGATTTGTCCGTTACTTCCTTTTGTTAATTGCAATCTTCTAAGAAGTCAGGTTCAATAATCCTCATGATGACTGAAAACTACTTCCACGAAGATGGCTTCTGGTTACAGAGTCTCATTTTGTAAGACAAAGTAGATACATTTAAGTGTTATACCGTAATGTTTAGCTAAAACTCCAGAATAACAACAAAAATCTGAGTAAGTGAAGACGCGAAGTCTATATAAGCATATAAAACCTTAAAACAAATGAAAAAGGATGTCATATCCATAGTGGGAAAAGAAAAACATGATTCGGTAAAGAGACCTTTTTCTAGCAAATGTATTATCAAGCTACACTACTGTATACATAAATATATATACAAAAATTTAGTTGAGTTCAACTCAATCTCCTCAGTTACATTGAGTAATTCAATTTACTTATTTAGCCTTATTTCAGTTTCTACTCCATTAACGTATTTTGTATAACGTAGCCGTTATCCAAAAGGACTTGATTTACTGACACTGGTGTTAACATCTTCATCAGTTCTGGCTGCCTGTTGTTGAAACAATACTTCCTAGATACGCGAAGGAAGTAACCTCCGTCAAATCTATCCCATTGATGGTGATTGGTGCTGGTTGCTGTTGTCGCTGTTCGTTGGTTATCTTCATCACCTGCGAATTCTCTATATTCGCCTACAGTCCTGTCTTCGCTGCCTGCCTGTTCTGCCAGTTTGTTGGATTTCGCCTGCAGGTCTTCGAGTTTGTGTGACATCAGACATAAATGGTCTGCGAAATGCAGATCTTCTGGAGTCTTCTTGTCAGTACAACGTATTCCTGTCTTCTCACTCCCCACAATCTGACGAATGATCCAGTCCACCACAATCAGGAATATCATTGACAGCCTTGTCTCATTCCTGTACTCACTTCGAACGCCTCGCTGAGTTTTCCATTGTGGATCATCTGACACGTGGCACCGTCATACAGACAACTGTTGACTGAGGTTGGTAAAGATTTGGGCACTGCACGCCGTAGTGTTGAACTGGTTTCCAAATTACTTCTCGGTCAACGCTGTCGAAGGCCTTTTCGAAGTCGATGAAGTTGTCGAGGCAGAGGTTTGACTGCCATTCTATGCTACGTTCAATGAAGATGTGTAGAGTTGCGATTCGATCAGCACATGATTTGCCTTTCCTGAACCCAGCTTCTTCCGGTGGGCGGAGTTCTGCATTCAGTGCATCTCTTACTCTCTTCGGAATGACGCGACTTAGTGTCTTGCTTGGCGTGGAGAAGAGCACAATTGCGCACCAATTTTAGCAGAGGCCTCAGTCGCCCTTCTTTGGTAGTTTGGCAAGCTAGTCTTTCTTCTAACCAGTAGGTGCCTTTCCTTACTTCCAAACGTTTTGCAATAATGGCGTGGGCAAATTTGACGCAGTCTCTTGGTCCGTTTTCAGTGCTTCGGGGGAATTCTGCCTGGTCCTGCTGCCTTCTCGGACTTCAGTAGCTTGATTGCACTCGAGATTTCAGCTTTTGTTGGAGGATTTGTGTCTACTGGCAGTTGCGTGTGTGTGTGCTGTTGATGGTATTTCTGGGCGAGTTTCAGGTGTCGGTCGATTCAAGATTTCTTTGAATTGATCAGCCCTGTTTGGTGGTAGTCAGGTTTCCTTGAACATATTTTGTAGGTTTCACCTGCGTTGTCATTTCTCTGGATAGAAACGCCGATATCTGGTATAACGTTTCGAGGTCTCTTTCACCTTCGACCTGCCTGTTCTGCTTCAGTTACCAGCCAGTGTGTCGTAGATTTGTCTTTTGTCTTTCCTACCACTCTTCTTCACTCCTTTATTCAGTGCAGTGTACATTGAACTCAGCTTCTCCTTTCATTGTCCATCTTTGCATTGAGTCATCTTCTCTGTCACCATCCTCCTCTCCTCGATTAACTTCCAGGTGGGTGTCGGTTGAGAGCCATTCCTTGTCGTATCTCTCCCTTCTTCCTAGAACAGTTGTACATGTTTCGTTCAACATCACCTTCAGAGAGTTCCAATGTTCTTCCACACAGGTTTCCTCAGTGACGCCATGTAGTGTCTCCGACTTTGCTCTGATGGCTGCAGCAAAGGTATCCCTTGTAGTTTCGTCCTTCAGTTTCTGAGTGTTGGACTTGAATTGTGGTCTGTCTCCAGTTGTTTTGAGGGATTTCAGCTTCACCTTGAAGACTCCCTGAACTAGATGACGGTCTGGGGACACATCCGCTTGCCTTCCTGATTTGTGTCCAGCAGGCCACGTCTCCACTTCCTTGAGATTCAGATGAAATCTACCTGGTTTTCGGTGTGTTCGTCAGATGAATTCCATGTTGCTTTGTGTATATACTTGTGCTTGTGCAGGTTGCCTCCGATCACCAAGTCATTGAAGGCACAGTTGTCTGTGAAGACTTCTCCATTGCCATTCACTTCTCCGAGAGCCTCTCGACCCATGATGAGTTCTCTTCCTGGATTGTCTGCTCCCAGTTTGGCATTCATATCGCCCACGAGGATTTTGATGTCACCATTTAGGATGTTGTCCATTACTGTTTGCAGTTGTTTGTAGGAATCTTCCTTCTTCTCTCGCTCCGAGTTGTCTGTAGGTGCAAAACATTGGATAATTGTAACCCTCCTTACTTTTGAGTTGAATCTTGCAGTCATAATCCTGCAGAGGGAGGTTGATTCCCACTGCATTGGACCTTTGGCTGCCACTGGTGACATCATGATAGCCTCTAACAGCCTCAGTGTGCTCGAGGTTGTAGTCTGGGCGAGAGGAGTAGATTACTCACTCTGCAGTTGAGAATTTCGATAGTCCACATCCATTCCATCTGTTCTCCCAGATTCCGAGCACTTCTTTGCCATATTTTCACACTTCTTTCGCTACTTGGACAGCCTTCCCAGCCTCTTACATTGCACAGACATTCCACTTCCCCATACTTATTCTTGCTTTCATCGAGAGAAGACACATTAGCTGGCTGACTGGTTTGCCGAAGGTTTTCACCAGCCTGCTGCGTCATTTCGTCTCTCCGACTCCAACGGGAATGGTTTAAAAAAAATTTTTTTTTTAATAGTTTTATTGTGAGTTGAATTTTGTGTCGCAGTTCGATTGGTTTTGGTTTGTTTGCTCTCTTTGGGACACCTGTTTTTGGATTTTATGCATGCATAATAATTTTTGCTACCCATTTTTGCTTCGTTGTACATTTCATGTTTCTTTGATTACTACTGTTTTATTTGTTACTTCTTCTCCCCGTCTTTAAACATTATCCAACGTTCTAATTCTTTTGTTTATCCATTATATGTATAGTTTATTTATCTTGTGACTTGGTCTATCCTTCATTGCTACACTGTTATTTCACCTCCTATCATACATAACCAGTTGTGTGTTAACTGTCCGCTCTACAACTTTGATTCCTACTCACTCTATAAATATACTGTTGAATTATTTTTTTGTCTGCACCTAATATACGGTATAGGTGGTCGCTTTATTAAGCATTTGTTTAGATCATTACTGGTTGATATGAATGCTACACAACTGATCTTCTCAGTTAATCAGTAGTATATAGTTTTATACATTTGTTCCTTTGTTTGTAATGAGTAATCAGGCTGTGAATTACATCACTTTTCTTCATGTATTTTTTTGTGCAGAAATGTAAATAATTATTTTGTGTTAAATGTACACCTAAGCTATACCAGATTATTTGCAATTGACAATGATATATTAAATTAATTTTCATTTTAGTGTGTTTGTGGAAAATCTGTATTACATGGAATGAAAACGCATTCATTTCATCCCACAATTTTTATTGTACCTGCTGTACAGGATATATATATCCTATAATATTTGCAAACCTAGTGAGTTGTTCAAGATTATGAATAAGCCTAATTATTCTGGCAACAAAATACGCAAAATTTAACAGCCTACCATTTATTTTGATTACGTGACACTATTTATTTATTCCTAATTCATTTAGTTGTTAAATTTCTTACGTAAAATTGGATATTTTCCTCATGCAAATGAAAACACTATATAAGAAGCTGCTTCCTTTTTGATTTGTATACATATGCTCGTTTTAGCTGCTAATATAACTAGAATAAATTTTTTTTATTCACTTCTCACCAAAAAAGTATTTTTTTTATGTTTCTTTTCAGCTAAGCAAATTAATAATTTGATAATTTCCTAGAAATGTGACATAAAAACAACTCTCTCAAACAGTAAATTTTAGAGTAAGGAATGGAGATCTCTCTCGATCTTAAAGAAAATTAAAGTGCTGGGAGTTTATTATTATTAAACCTAATTGTTAGATGTAATAGAGTGGTCAGTATCGTTTATATTCAGGTTTTCGGTATAAGTATTTATGTGAATTGTTTGACCTTTAAACATTTTAAATTTAGCTAGACTATCAGAATGTATGAACTATACAAGTGTGGAATCGTCACAAGGATATTTACATGAAATGCTTTTATTCGATAACGAAACAAAAGCTTTTTAGACTCTCTTCTTATAATTTCTCAAACAGTAACGACATTGATGGCGTCGTAATCCTACGCATACTAGTAATGATTATTTTCTCTGAGTATGTGCATGAAATTTCGTCATGTATTAGGAGGTAAAACACCATTAAATCCGGCTACATTTCATCATAAATGAACATCAGTTGTCCATATTTTGAAGTCATCAGATATGAGAGATCTGTTTCGCCTTAGTTCTGGACATGTCATCTTTGCTTTTACCATAAGCAGCACCTATATTTACCAGTATGTGAGTATGAAAGTGAAGCATATTCATGTCACCGGTGGATTACTTAAGTGTTATCATGGTAAGCAAGCAATAAAACTTGATCAAAAGCTAAAGCGTGCTTCATTCGGGTATTCTGCCGTCAACCAAACACGATTGGTGATGCCTAGAAGCTGAGGAACAAACTGTGAAGAAATATGATCTATGTTTTAAGGTGGCCACAAAAAATGGTTTTAAGAAGGTTAACAACAGATGAGCGCTAAAAAGTATTATCATGTTTGAATAACTTATTCAGCAGTACAATTTAAAACATAGTTCACATCAGAAATAAGGGTTTCTAAATACAGTTTCCAAATGAAAAATGTCTTATGCTTTGCTTTTTGTATGAAAAAATATCTCATAAATAATACAGAAGCGAAGTTTCAAAATATTTCTAACACATATTACTATTCTGGTTTTAGTAACAGTCTTTGACAAGGTATAAACAACAAGCACAACAACAATATCAGACTGTCAACAAAGTAATATTGGAACAAAGAAAAAAGAAATAATGAAATAAAGCAAGATAGGTCACATGTAATTGTACAAGTTGGAAAAGAGGAAAAAAAATACAGTCAAACTTTGAACAAAAAATATCTATAGCAAAATAAATCGATGCACAACTGTCAGCATTCGATTAAAATGAAGTGTAATACAAAAAGAAGCTGAAAAAGTTTACGTGTGGTACAATTTTAGTAACATTTGTCGGCCGTCATACTGAAAAAATAAGTTCCGCTTGATGTTACATTGCGCTACAGAAGCAGAAAAGCAATCAAAAGATGCAGCAGCAGCGG